GCGGTGCACACACAGTGAAACTGAACGCATCAACCATGGTAACAGTAAACATGCACATATACACAGGAAATAAGAAAAAACAAACAAGGACCCCGTTTAATATGACGCTGATGTCCACCTTTAACAGCAGAGCACTCTAGTGACTCTTCAATGTTTTCACCATCAAATGATTTTAACAGTACAAAGTCTCTTATAATGCAAGCAGGCTGAAATGAAACTGGATCCTATACATATCTCTATAGTGTCTTAGTTGTGTGTGGACAAGAGTGAATCATATCATACATTGTAGGGAGCCCTGCTACCACTGCTTCCATGATGCCAAAAATAAAACAGACAGGGTGAGTCATGGCTCTGCTTATGCTGGTCTCTCTTATTAGGGAGTCCCTGCTTTGAATCAATATCTTCTAGTTGTGACATTTGAAAACATGTTCTTTAGTACTAAAAGAACTAAAATAAACCACCATCAAATTCGTGCCCCAAAAAGAAAGAATATGAAGAGTGAAGCCACTGGAGCCTATCCCAGCTGTCATAGGGGGAGAGGCAGGGTACACCTTGGACAGGTCCCCAGTCTGTTGCAGGGCTAACACTAATATACAGACAACTATTCTTACTCATATTCACACCTATGGACAATGTAGAATCATCAATTAACCCAACCCCGCTAACTGCACTGTACCCGGAGAGAACCCACGCAAACTCCACACAGAGTAATGATGCATATAGTGTAGTCACGTTTCCTTATGCAGCAAATGGTGAGATAATCGATAATTATGTTGAGTATATTCCTTCTCCATGCATGTGGGGTTTAGGGCCCATTCAAGCCAGTGTATTGAGAGTCTTATCAAAATTATGAATGCAGAAAAGTACCATTAGATTTTGATCCACCGTGCAATACCATCTGGAAAAAATTTAACTGGCAACAGCTTTGTTTTATCAACATGATAATGATCACAAACACACTGCCAATCCAGTAAAAACATATCTGAATAGAAAAACACAAAATGGAACGCTATCTGTCATGGATTGGCCTCCCTAGATCCTGGACTTCAACATTGCTGAAGCAGTGTGGGATCATCTTGACAGAGAACACAGCAAAAACACTGCAACTCCCCAAACAAATCACAGCTTTAGCTGGCCACATGCCTTAACTTCATCCTTCTTGTGTGTCATTGCAAGCAAGCCCCAAACTTAGTCTCTGCAGAAAGCTTTGACCTCAACGTTGTCATCTCTGCTGGACACTACTCTGCCCACATTAACATCACACCACCACAGGCGCCACAGGTGAAGCCACAGCATCACCATCACAGAGTGCTTGCAGCTCTGACAGCCCAGCAGACGTGCACTGAAGCATCTCAAAGAAAGACATAAAATATGAGTTACATCATTTTAAAAATCACACACATAACTGGTAATTATGTGACTTTTAGGACAATTGAATAATTCTTTGAAGGAAATGTCAGGACGTAATAACCTTCCAACACCACACTAGGGACACAAACAGACACAGAGCACATCGATTCGATGCTGTCAACACAAAGAGCTGTTTGTTGGCTAAAAGGCAACATAACCTGAATTACCACAGACTTGTTCCCGACCTTTGCACAAGCCTCCCCCAGAGACATACAGCCTTAAGCAGCATGAGTGCCAGACTTGACAAAAACACTTTCTGCTGTATGTTCACACACACGCAATTATATTTCTTCTCCCACAGAAAGCCAAGAGCTTAATTTCACTACGGAGTTGAGGCGCAAAAATATACCACAGGTAATGTAGTAATGTGGTTATACTCCCTGAGGTCCTTTGTGAATATAAAGGTGGTTTATCAAGCCCTGTATTTAATTTCCTTCTGCCCACTTCCTCGTCTCTTAACCATGCCATTTTGCCTTTTATCACACCTGAAACTAATAATTAATAACCGAATCATCCTGGATGAAATGATTATTTTGACGTTTTATGTGAATTTGTTTGAGCACCAATAATTAGTTGAATTATGTAACCTGAAACCTGTAATTAATCTGTAATACACTATAATAGCATTAGAAAAGCACAAAGGTGGTTGTACTAAAGTTTATTATGATTAACTTAAGCTACACAGCCTATCCAGCTTCCTTCAGAGCATATGGATAAAGCTGTTAACCATTCTGTTAAACTAAACTTCAAAAGTAAATCTCTAGAAGTTAGACTTAGGGCATATTCTCATGGCAGTTAAACAAATGCATATTATGAATGTTTGTTTTTTTGCTCAGACTCTGATGAGATGATCAACAGTACAATACTATAATTGCGAGCATCCAGTTAGCTTAGCTTAGCATGGAAATTGGCAGAATAGCAGCTAGAGGGACTCTGTCCTTCTCATTGTGATGTTTCCAGGAAAGCGTGAACACCTGAGCAATTAGCCATTGCACCTGGCTAAGAAATTGTTCCGACACCTAACTCACTTTACAATGAAAACTGCAGCTTTCACAAGAGAAATACTGTGATGTTGCTTAGTAATCTTACGGCAGTGAGTAGATTTTTTTTATACTATAGACCAATTATGTAAGACATTATTTAAACATTTGAGATCTCAAATGTCAGGATTTGCAACTTTCTGGACTTTCATAACATGGTAATTATTTTAAGCATATGCTATTAAATCAATAAAATATTCAAAATAGTTGCAGCCAAGGGGTTCAAGTGGGTCAGAAAATCATTATTTCTTTTCTTGTTATCATTTTGTATGCATTTAAATGTCAATAAAGCTGCAGTTTCTGTATTTTAGCATTTGGCTAAATAATAAAACTAAAACAAGCAGAACTGCTTTGCATTGCTTTTTTTTTTCTGTAGTGGCAGATGATTGCAAGTTCATTGTTTAAAATAGAGGTCCACAAGTATAAGCAAATTCAATTTTCATTTTATTTCACATGTCTGTAACAGATTGTGGATAGGAAGAAGAAGGGTTATCTTGTTGAGTTATCTGGTTATTAATTCATATTGTGACGTAACCGTTATCATCATACTACAATGACTGCAGAGTATGCATGTCTGTATGTTTATTCCCAAACTCCTCCTGATGACTGATTGGTACAATCTAAGATACCAATATTTCTAACATCTACGTGGTTAAAATATTTACATCAAATAAAAGTACTCTGTCTTTGTATCAGCATATAAAAACAATGGTTTATGAGTGTACACTCCTGTTTTTATGTACATAAAATGAACATAGCGTTTGCACATTCATAGGCATGTTACATGTACAATTTAAAGCTTATGATAGGGTTTAATTTTTAAAAACAGGGGTCACGACAGATGGGAGATCGAGGAGAATCTTTCCAGGCATTTGCTTGCTACACTGAAAGAGCCATGCTCATGTAACCATATCAAGTTGATTCTGTTCATCTGGATGTAGTGAAACTCCCAAATCTTGGGATCCCAAATCCCAAAAGGTTGATTCGTTCATCTGAACAAATTTGGATGATTGAGCATGCATCAAGACATACCAAGTTTGATGCCGGCACCGGAAAAACTGCCTGTAGGATGGGTTTTTGCTAATATATCAAATGATCAACTGTGTTGCATTGGTCAAAGGGCTAATGTGAGGTTACTGGAACTAAGTAGTCTGCGGTATCTGTGGTAAGGCTTACAGTAAAAACTAAACTGGACTAATGCAGAAGAAGGCTAAAAGTCATCAATTTGAGTTTAAGCTATTTAGCATCACTTGTCAAATTCCACCTTTAATCTATCGTTAGATTTTATTATTGATTTTACAGTAGTCATCAATACAAAACCTGCCAGTATATTCTAGGATGTAGTTGGCTAAATTAAAAAAAGAGCTGTAAACTTCAGTCTCAGATGAGTCAAATACATCTCTGCCCACAGAGAAACTCAATCCATATTTTTAAAAAGGCTGTTTATAAATTACTTACATTTAAATACGGAATCTACATATTTTGTTTTTCTACTATTAAATCCCTGATGTTAGGTCAGAGTCACTTTTTACTTTGCTTCGCATAGTGACGGTCCGAGCTAATGCTAGAGAAATAGATTTTAAGGTGTAGCAGAGGTAATGAAATGAGAGGACACCACTGACCCGCTGCAACAAGTCACTGAAGCTAGTGACCTCACCCTGTCTCACACTCACAGTTTCTGGATACTAGCCTCTCATTTTTTTCACTGACACACCCCACTCACACAACTTCACTGTCCATACTGTCTGTATGCTAGTGCTGATAGGCACAGTGCAGTTTCTCCTCATCACTAATCTACTGAGCACGTGGTGCCCGACACTCATGGACAAACCCGCAATATGTCTCTGGTAGGAAGTACGATTGCTGCGTGAAAACCCTAGGACTTCCTGTCCCTCTGCGCTATCGGGAAGTACAGACTCAGCTCTCACAGTGGAGGGGCGTACGCTTACACACATGCACAGACACATACACACATGCTCCCCCAGGGCAACAATGACTCAACAGCTTAGTAATCAACCACAAAGACACACACTGTGCCGCAGCTTTACACCAGCAGCATCAAAACAAAACGAATTAAGTTTGGAGGCTGGTAGGCAAAAAGCATCCTGCATTGCTGTTGCAGAGCTCTTGCTCACAAACCACGGTCAGATCTGTCCCTATACTATCGTAAGATGTTTACCTTACACTTTAAAATCCCATTAGATTAATACACTGTGCTTTATTAATAAAAACAAAATTGAATTAAATGACTTTGAGTGGAGAACTGTTGTGATCCACACTGGTAAAGCACATCCCTGAACCACGCCCTGCATGTCATGACTCATCAGTCCCCCTCTGTTGTCCATCCATGCCAACAGGGAGTGGGAAGGGAATGAGAAAGACAGAGAGAGCAAGACAGAGAGAGAGAGAGAGAGAGAGAGAGGGGAGGGAGGGGAGGTCATCAACAGAAGAATCAATGATGAGGATGAGAGGAAAGAAGAAAAAGAAATGCTCATGCTGAGAAACAAAAGAGAGCAACAAAGACGCAAGCGCACTGTGGGTGGGACTCACCAGCTCGACCGAACCATAGTGTTTCCTGCTGAAGTCTCCACGCCTGCACCCCAAGTCCTCTGAGGCAGAGCTGTAACACAGAGGAACGGTCAGACTCAGATGCATGTCCTATGTGCTCTCATCACATACGTATACAATGCATAAACTGTGACATCGTTCATACACAAGTGGCAGTTGCAGCATCTGTTTTTCTACAGTCTCTTTATCATAATATACATAGTATAGTAGTACTAGAGAACACCTGTTTATGTTTGTGAGTGTCTCACCATTCTTCACATTCAAACAGTACATGGTTACAAGGCAATGGATGCAAAGAAGGCGTCTGCACAACTCGGTAACCTCTTTAGCTTCTGTTACTGAGCTGTGTTTTCCACCGATGAGGAAGACCAAAAAGAAAAAGAAGAGCTGTCTGACTTGATTGGTAAAGTCCTATGAGGCCTCGTGAATGGAGAAGCTGGAGACCACAGGTAACCCTAACCCTGCTAACTCTTTCCACATGCACGTCCTGCTTATTTTCCTCTGCTAACATCTACGTTTGGGTGCGTTGATACAATGATCCTGCCCATCAATGTGCTTAAATTTCCAGCTATTTCATCACACCGTGAGATATTTTGGCTTATTTATGCATATCTATGGTCTCAGGTATGTACTTTTACTGCCTTTTTTTTCTTTACTGCATTTGAAACACTCACTTTTCAGCTACATGTTTTGAGGACAGGCAGTAGTGAATCACACTACAAGAATAAGTCATTGGAGCCACCTGAGGCTACTGGTACTCATCACTTAACCGCTTAATGCATCGTGTCCTCCATACTCACATGCCACCAGTCAGTCTTGTGTCACATATAAACATTTTCAAGTTGGCTTTATCAAAGTATTAAGTTTATCAATGCATTATAACACACCACGAGCTGGCTCCTCTCACACTACTATCTCGCTTTTCATCTAAGCACCACCTCGATAATTGTAGGAAAATCAGGGTGACTAGGTCAGTGGAGCTGCCAGAGGATAGAGCCATTTAATTATTCATAGTTGCCTATTACTTCTTTTATGCACTATGCTCACTAAAGGACTATAATATCATTTATTAAGTATTTACTATACACTCACCAGCTACTTCCACTGCTTATTAATGGATTTAGGCATGAAACATGGTCAGGACAACCTGCTTAAGTTCAAACTGAGTATCAGAATAGGAGGGAAAAAAGGTGATTTAAGTGACTTTAAAAGGCGACATTAACTCAAACTAAGGTATGCAGAATAACATCTCTGACTGCATAACACATCCAACCTTTAAGCAGATGGGACACAGTAGCAGAAGACCACACAGGGTACCACTTCTATCAACAACAGAAGTGTAAACAACATGATATCCCGCTCTGTATCAAAGGCTCAGGCTGGTGCTGGTGGTTTAATGGTTTGGAGGATAGTTGCATCTCATCCCTTTGTCCCAGCATGATAGCACACCATGTCACAAAGCTCAGATCATCTCAATCTAGTTACCTGAGCATGACAGTAAGTTAACTATACTCAAATAACCCCCACAATCACCAGATCTCAGTCTAATAGAGCAACTTTGGGATGTAATGCAATGGGAGGTTGGCATCATGGATGCACAGCTGACAAATCTGCAATAACTGTATGTTGTATCTGTGCCGTGAAGATTTAAGGTAGTTCTCACGGCGAGTGGCCAGTGAGTGTCTAAAGAAAAAAAATATCAAATCCATATTTTCCACTTGTAAGTAATCATCTTCTGCTTGTATTCACATTGGATTACTAGTAAATGTGAACTGTGTACTGTAATATGGGAATTCTATGTGGGGCTGTCTGTGCTTTTATATTATTTGCCCTTTCCAAATTTACCACTTTAACTACTGCTTCTTGCCCTTTGCACAGGATATTGTTTAGAGGTAGGATCAAAAGTTCCGAGGGGAAAAACGAAAACTGGGGTGGCGGGTGAAAGCAATGAAGAGGGCAGGGGTACAAGGGTGAGACTCTTAGAGTTCAGGCGGGGGGTCAGCGAAAAGGTTGCCATGACCCAAAGGGCACTTCTTTCCATTTTCAGTTATCCTACTTGTCCTTTTGGTCATTGGCATTAAATTCATATTACGTCTTTCCTTCTTATGTTTTTTTTTTCTTCTTTTCTCTGTCTGTTTCTCAGTATGGTGTGGCTGCCAGCAGCACAGTGACTGACCCGGGAGCTGTGTCCAACTCACTTCTGATTGAGATGGGGGTCATGATTGAATTAGGCTCGAGTGATAGATGGAGATTGGTGTGGAGAGATGACTGCTGGTGATACACACTCGCACAGAGTTGACACAGGGACAGATTCAAACCGGTGCGTG